GAGGTCGGGTTCGAACCACGGACCTTCCGTCAGTAAATTCGCGCTCCAACCACTTGGGCCATCTCGCTCCAGGGACTACCATAGGCACATTTCGGTTGTCTACCCTGGCGATCCTCAAATGAGTCCATTGAAACTCCCTAGTGTATCAACGCCCCCCCCTGTGGGCAGACTGCCTGTCAGCAGCACAACTCATGAGCGGTCCCTTCAGAGAGAGGCTGGAGGGATATGTCCAAACTTTTGGGTTTCATTAATGTCCAGGTCGTAGAAATCATTGGATGGATTGGAAAAAACGTTTGTTGAAATATGCCACCTGAGTCTGCGGTGACTGCCCGAAATCCCAGAGTATGACACCTACAGAGAGGAACGGACATCAAATTAATAGCCCATGCAAAAAGGTGAGTGACCCTTACCTGAAGATCCCGTAAAATCTGCGCCCGCACGGCCGTTTTTATGTCCAACTCAAATGTCTTCCTGGCCATAAGAATGCCGGTAGCCTTGTGTTGAGTTTTCGACACAACCCCACCACTGCCACGTCCTAGTTCACTCAACCAAATGATATCTTCGGTGGTAATATCCAGTCCAGGGCGGCGTCTAGCTGAATTCACAGAGCCGCCTAACTGGAGTCCATCGAGCGAAGGTCGAGCAAACCCGTTGACCGGCGAGGCAGTTGATCGTACTGGAAGTTTGTTGATTCGTCGGTACAGATCGGAATCCTCTTCTAGAAGCACACTGGAATCGAGGAGAATGGAAGAAAAATTACTGCAATAGCCCGGAGATTGACTACTCCTGGGGAACAAAGGTGACAACAAAGTGAAGAATGAACATCGGAACCAAGCAGAAACACGCAGGTTCATCTCGCGAGATGGCCCAATTGGTTATAGCGCGAATTTACTGACCGGAAGGTCCGTGGTTCGAACCCGACCTCTGCCTCTCGACTTCCCTTGTCTAGGCTTGGGCAGCCTGGCAGTATCCTCGTGCTTCCTCCGGGTGGCATGGCAGTTATGCACCGAAAGGGTGTTACAGCTAATGGCTACTTAATCAGTGGCAGGTCCGTTCGCTTAAGCCAATGTACATCTTTCCAAGTCAATAACCCATCGCAAGCAACCAAGACTTGGTCTCATTGATACTGATAGGACTTCTCATCTCTCTGCTCAACTTGGTGTTTATTTTGCAAACATTTCATGTTTCTCGGATGAATATCGATGCAGTTTTGTCGAATATTTGTACCTTGTTCATTATTATCATCTAGCGATAACCCTCGGACTAAGTGATTTCTGCTCACCGCAACAGCAGGAAGGTGTTTTGGGATTGCAGTTCATCACAGGTGATAGATGTTGATAGACACCGTATGAAGTACGGACTCGAGAGAGCTCGGTGGATGGCAAGCAAACTTACTGCCCGAAAGTCAAAATCCCAACATCTCGACTAGTCCTGACCAGGCTTCCGCAAACTAACGGCCCTCGTGATTCCACCGAGTGGCAGCTAGGAACCGAAAGAATTAGGGTTATTAAGTAGCGTGATGTACTACTCATGTACTAACCCCAAAAGGTCGCGGGTCCGAATCTCCTTGAAGATTCATCAAGTGCTCGTGGCTGGTGAATCGTAACAAGGACGAAACATCCGGAGGCTGCTCTTCGGCCTTTCGGAATCAACGACTGGATGCTTATAGGCCTCATCATTATTTAACAGATATGCTACCATTCATATGCCAGAATCTCAAAGGCCCGAACCACGTTTGCCCATTCGCGTTACTTTTGGCGCCAAAAAGGCGTATCACCGCGCGTATCAAGGGTCGTGTGTACCAGACTACAGTAGGGGGCGTATTGTTGCAAAACATGCCCCCTGCGGATAGATGGTGCGAGGCGTTTTCAGGTTTTCAGAAGTGTTGCTAGTGTCGGGTGGCGTCAACGAATTGGTGACAAGGTGATTGGGAACAGGTATGCGGTTGCCAAGCGTTAGCTCGATCATGTGCTACGCTAAACCACCTATAGAGACAAGTGTTGTTCCCCGTGCTTCCTCCCGAATGGCGCAAACCGCGAGGTCGACAACGTATGACTTGTCGGAAGAGTATGGAAGAGATTACGAAGAGTTTTGGTGCGGTCCGGCTTCTAAGATGAGGTCCCTGAGACCCCTTCTGTGCTTTATCATATATATATATATATATATATATATATATACATATATATGTCTCAGCTGTAACGCCTCCTGGTGCCTAGCAGCCATGCTACTTGAAGGAAGCACGAGAACTAGGATACTGCCAGGTTGTCCAAGTCTAGATAGGGGAAGTTGAGGTCGGGTTCGAACCACGGACCTTCCGGTCAGTAAATTCTCGATCTAACCACTTCAGCCATCTCGCCCCTCTGTGCTTCATCTCTTCAAAATGGATATCAATTTACGGTAAATGATTAGTGAATGCCTTTCGGTTTACAGAATTGAAAACTATCCCAAAATGTAGGGTGCCCTCTGTCCGCACATTACTGTGAATTTCGGTCAACCGAGAGGTTGTAGGAATAATCGGGACCGCAAGGGACTCGACCTCTAGCGTGGGGATGGATCTTCCTGTGAGCTTTGTGAACTCTACTCACATAGGTACGATAATCTCAAATGTGGTGGAGCAGCGGATATCGGTCAAGTCTTTTTGTGATGCTCTAGGGGAATACTACTTACAAAGATGAAGGAAATGGTCCAGAAAAAATATGAAACAAGGTGCGTGGAGCACCAAAGTCATTCCGAGAGTAGTCTCAAAATCAGATCAAAATACCGACTGGTGCAGCTGTTTTGACCGACGAATAGAACAACATATCGGTCCCAGATTGGTTCAGCATCAGTTACAAACAAGGTACACAAACGAAGACTTACGTGGAACTGAGGCTCGTGGGCGGAGAACCGCAAAGCTCAAATGGTGTGGTCCTTGTGGTTGGCAGTGCCTTGAAAAAAGACAGAAACCGTAAAGTAGGGATAAAACTGGGCACCAATTTGTAACAAATTTAATCGGTGATGATCAGTGCTCTATAGAAATTTCAAGCCGACTGTTAGGCGGAATTCCACACGGATCCCTCTTAACCACTCGCACTCGGGTGCTGCTACGGCCGAGAAGTCCATCCCACGCAAGATTGGCCGAGAATTCGGGACGCTTGCCTGTCCGGCATCAACTCGAGATCTGATTGGTCGAAAGTCTGGGCCCAACAGCCAATAATGACCCAGTATTGCATCCAGAACGCGTCGGAAATTCCAGAAAGCTATAACCGCCCACGCTATATACACGAAGCGCTGTACAACTGTTCCTGACCTCGTTTTGGGCGTTAATATACCTTGTGCACCCTAGGTGGTTGTTTTTGACGTGAACGCTAGCTTGGGAGGCTCAGACCGAGAATTAGGCTGAGAAAAATACCGTTGCTACAGCTTTGTAGCAGCACTTTACACCTCGCGAGTGCGAGGTGTGCACCAAACCATGCGGCAAAGTCATCCAGGTGTTTCTGTACCCATACACTAGAGTTCGGAGCTGTGACACTCCTGTGCAACCACTTGATAGTAACACGCAGTGTGGCTGCCTGGTTCTATTCCGCCCACAGAAACTTTAATGAACTGAAACTGACCGAACCAGCACCATAGACAGCCTACCAAACTCGACTTGATGAAGTGAAGTGATACTCTTGGCAAAATTAAAAAAAAAACAATCCTAAAGTACATACCTTGCCATCCTGCAACTTCTCAGGATCGATCGTGATTACGGACTCCATTGTCCGTAAGTACACATGGACCGTGCTACCGGAATATGAGTCCAAGGCTGTAAAGTACATTAAAAGAGGGGATGAGTAGCAATCGACTATTGCAGATCATCATCAGCGACATGTCAGTGTTGTTCAGCTGTAACACCCTCCCGGTGACTAGCTGCGATGCCAGCCGAGTCATCAGCGATCAGTGTTGTTCAGCTGTAACACCCTCCCGGTGACTAGCTGCGATGCCAGCCGAGGGAAGCACGAGGGCTGAGATACTACCTACCAGCCCAAGCCTAGACAGGGGAAGTCGAGAAGCAGAGGTCGGGTTGGAACCATGGATCTTCCGGTCGGCAAATTCGTGCCCCAACCACCGAACCGTCTCGCGCCCTCAATGGCACTCAAGCATCTAAGCTGTCACGACCAACGCGTGACTTTCTCTCCTTGTACCTACGCACCAATTATATTAGCTATCGCCCCCAATGTGTAGCTACCTGTCCAACATCCACAAATCATCGGCGAACTAAAATGTGGCAATTACAACCACTGTACGGCAAGTACGCAGTTTTTACAG